ATTGCCTGCCGAAACAGTTCCGAGCGCCGTGTTAAAATGTACAATTAGCTAAAATTACCTAAAATAGAATCCACGGTGAATATGTTAATCGAAACTATTCGGTGTACAAATTAATTCGTGGCTCTCACAATTAGTCAATTGCAACTTCATACATTTCGACATACCAGTTCGTTCGTCGCTGCATTAGAAAGATAGTTCTGTCATGCTTTACGCGAATAAGAAGACAGAATTTATTATAGCATTAAATAGTATATCGAAAAAGTACCTCGAAAATTCCGTTCTCCGATTAATAATTAACAATCGAACGGTGGATCATTCTTATAACTATATAATTGACGATGTTTATAACGATTCTCAGCTTCGTTTAGCTAATTTTCCAAACATAATTTTGAAGATATTTCACGCGGACTTTTTACTCTTTCTATTGTTACTAGTTTAACAGCCGCTTATTCCACCGAATTGCCGAAAATTGACTAATTGGGTGACCCGAGAACCGGCGGCCGAGGGTTAATGGTCAGAAACCGGATACCGAATTTGTGCTCTGGACTCGAGATCCTCCCTTCGAGTGTTAAACTCCAAATCCGCGTGCTATCTCCACTCGCAGACTATGAAACATAGCTAGAAAAATCGTGCGGATGGTTTCAGCAGGTTCCGCATTACATGTAAATTTTAGGCGTATCGGACGGGTCACTTGGGAGTAACGTCCCACTAAATAAATCCTCTTAAACCGCTCGTAATCGAATCGTGTCAACGTACCGGCCCGCGGCCCATCTATTTTCATAGCAATGAAAGCGCGTATGAAACGCGGAAGGCCAGGGTCCGCGGATGATGTTCGACGCGCAACAGTGCCGTCCCTGTAACGGGGGAAATATTGCGGACGCATCGGCGCGCCCTCGGGTTCTCCGTTATTTTTCAGACAAATTCGATTGGTCCCGTGTTTGCGTCGATGAATTAGCGGGGGCGGGAGGGGGTCGCGTGGCGCGTACGTAGACGGCAATTGTCGCCGCACAGGCACCGCTTTAGATGCCGTAACATACACACACACACACACCTAAACGCGAGCACACCGACGCGCGGTAGACACATTCGCGCGCGCACACACACACGCAAACAGCCGGATAGAAGCCGTGCACAAGCGGCGTTCGCGCTCGTGAAATCGATCGCAACTGTCCGTTCCCGTGCTTTTCACAAGGACAAGCAGAATTCCAGGAACGTCCGATCCTCGTCGTCGGACAACGGAACGAACTCGTCGATCAATCGGCACGCTAATGGCGGAATTCGGGCACACCACTCTCGATCCACTCCGTGCAAATTGTATTTGGAGGTACGTCAAGCGGAGCTCAGGATCGCGGTTGCCAAATTCTACATTGCCTTTTGATGGCGGCCCGCCGCGCCGTTTCGAAGGGCTCGCTAAACGACGTGCGCGTCCGGCCGACGGGTTCTTTTTCGCATTACCAGCTCCGGGCGCCGTTAAATTAACGTTTAACGGATCCCGCGCGACCCCGATTGTTTCCGATTTCCCATGGTTTGCCTCCCTCCCCCGCTCCGTCGCCCTTCGCGGTGAAAGAGTCCGCGGGGGACAAGAATCGGTCGATCGTGTCCTCGGAATGGAAACCCGATCTTTCATCGGACGCCTGTTTTTTTCGATCGAACCGTTCGGTCTGACGAGATTCTCTTCCGCAAACGACCGTGTTTAATAATGTCTGCTGCACCCTGACCTTCGGGACTCTTTCACGGTAATGTATTCTTTAGCGGGAGTGTCCGTTCAACAGCAGGAATTTCGAATTTGTTTCAATGTTTTGTTACAATTTTTGAAGTATTTTTTCAGCACAGATTTCAGCACAGAACCAGTGTTATTTTATTATCGATATTACGTTAATAATTGACCCTTCTAATACTAGAACTATCAAACTACAATAATGTCTCCCTTACTGACGCTTAGACTGACCACTAAAATGGATAATTTGGGACGAGGCGATACGATCATTCGAGCCTTGCGGCTCATTTTTATAATTGTGGACAATTTATAACTATAAAAGTAAACCGCAAGGCTCGAATAATCGTATCTCCTCTTCCCAAATTGTCCATTTTTGTGGTCAATCTGGGCGTCAATTAGAGAGACATTACTGTAGTCGAAATAACTGGCTCCTGATTTTTTCTTTTACAGATCCTGGTATAATAATATTTCTAGGAGAAATTTTTAGGTACACTTATTCATTGAAGTACATATTATAATATAAATCATGCGGAGTTTAAATATATCCAGTCTTGGCATTGTTATAAAACAATATACATTAGTCGCGGATACATTTAGAGCTTGGTAGTTCTAATGTTAATTTTTTCTCGTAAACTACATATCGTAAAAGAAAATGTTACGAACGAGAAAGTTATTTGGTACGCGACAAATAATAAAATTTTTAATTATAAGTGTTTTAAGTATGATGCGTTTTAGGGAAAACGTGTCTTTCATTCTCAAGCTATCGTATCGTGTAACACTCGTTAGAAGAATTATAGATTACGAAAGCGGAGACATTTCGACGAGATAACAATAGCGTATAAGTCAGTCGCGTCGAAGAAACATAGAAATGGTGAATTACTTCAATGTATTCCATTATTACGCAACAAGTGTTTGAACGAAGGAACGTAGAACACTCGGTTCGATAAAAATGCGTCACTTCCGCGAAACATTTAATAAAGTTCAAAGTGAAACTTCGCATTGCACATGAGTGAACTTCATCCGAAATTGCGAATACTATAACAAATGCAACAGTAAATATTATTTGAACGTTCAAACGCTTCGCGCCGATCGTTCGACAAATAGTTGCGACAGAAGGCAAACATTGCGTCTGCCAGGAGAAGTTTCATCATTGCAATTAATTCAATCGTTCGCGGGAACGAACGCGAAACAATTCGACTTATTTATGTTTCTATCTTTTCTTTTTGTTGCGCCGCAAGCACAATTAGAGTGGGCCGAATGAATTTTTAATCACGCGACGCACACAACTGCCGTTAACTGGGTCATCGCGGGAACCGACGTCGCCGTCGAACAAAAAGAAAAAAAAAGAAAAGGGCGAGTTGTAATTTTGACTTAATGATTCCACGTGAAAGGAAACGGCGAAACCATTAAGAAAAATAATTAAGTCAATTACGTGAACGGTCCTCGCGGCGATACGAGCGTAAACGGAAGAATTCCCGTATTCGAAATGCGGCTGTTTAGCTTTTCAGAGGATGGGAAGAATGTTGTTTAAAGACCAGCCGCGAATGGGAAACTGGGTCAGCGGCAAGAATTGCCGCCATATTTCTTTTGCGCGATGTGTCCCGCGTGTATCGCGGCAAGAATTAATTACAGGAAACTGAACAAAAATCGCCGCGTTTTCTTGAGGGTTTCATTCATCAGCGGGACGACGCTTCGAGTTCTACGGTCGACACTTCATTTGAAAATGTCCATCAATTCAATTTTCAAGTGCCATTTGCTGTCGAAACTTCTCTTCTTATTCGCACGCGGGTTTCGTTGAAACCTGAATTATTTATTCGCGCCGGTACAGAAGTAAACAATTTAGAAATCTTCATTTTCTTTTTCGAGAACTCTGGAACGATTAATTACTGTTGTGTGCGCGACACAAGAGAAATGACCGAAAAGGCATTATACTCTGTTGATCTTTTCTGAGACTTGTATTCTTAAATTAATACTCGAGTGATAAAAATGATCGCGACTAGATTGAATTTCTTGTACAATTTTGAAGCAAGTGAACGCGTCAAGCACGGTCATGATTCCGTTAAATATAACTGTTAACTACATGACACTGCCGATAACAGAACATATACACACACTTTGGAAGCGAACGTACCATGAAATCGAATTGATTTCGCGCAAATTGATAATACTTTTGCATAAATTTATAGTGACTCAGATCAAAGACAAAATTGATTTAGTGTGTCGCGCTTTTATTAAGTTAGAAATCAAACTGAAAGCTCGTTAACCGTGTTAAACTTCTCGCTACACCTAGTTTTAGACAGAGGGCTTTAAACTGCGTTTCATTCAGAGTTCGATTGAACTCTGTAATAATTATTACATGGACGGAAACAAGCTTTTAATGGCAAAGTTGGCGGTCATAGTAGCTCGACTATGAATCTTTATCGATTTCTAATATATGCAATTTTGCGAAAATTAATAATATCGTTCGACAAATTGTAAATGACGTTATCTCAATGTCCGTGAATCAATCTTTTTAAAAGTCTCTATCAACAAAACGGTATACAATCTGTGAAACACGTGTAACAATTATGTAATATTAATTTCATGCAATTTCCAACAATTTTGTTATTTCAAACGAAATTGAAACGAAACTCTGCTTATTTGATCAAAATGGAACCTTGTATAAACATCTTTGGATCAATAATGTAAATGAGCCGTTTATTTTGAAAGTGGCATAAGTCACTTTACCGTAATGAAAAGTGGTGATTTTTTAATGTTTATACGAAATTATTTGTACTGAGAAAAATATCAGTATCCTGAGATAACAAATAGAAGTAAATCTTCTCGAAAGTTAGCATCCATATTTTTAAACGTGTTAAAACGCAAACCCTGAAATATATCGACTTAAAAACAAATATATCGACTTATGCCACTTTCAAAATAAACGGCTCAAATGATGATTAACCCTTAACTGGTATAGTGATGTCACGAGTGACCTATTTCATTTCGAAGTCGAAGCTCAATTTACTTCAATTTACTTCAAAATATGAAGTACCAATGGAGCGTTTATCTAGAATTAAATTGACGCGTTTTTCTGCCTCTTATTTTTGGGGTCTGTCATGACCCCAATATCCCAGTCGCTTTCAGAACGCGCGCGCGCGCGCGCGCGCGCGCGCGCGCGCACACACACACACACACACACACACACACACACACACACACACACACACACACACACACACACACACAATCAGCATTTAGTTCAATTCAGTTAATTAAAATAGACAAACAATATGATACTTACTCGTTCGGTGTGCTGGACGTATGAAACAAATTTAAATCCTGGAAAATCACTTGGACCCGTTCCTTGCCGCGTCCCTTGAAGTCGTATGTACAGTGCGTTCTCTGTGGATAAGGGTTCGGATATCCCGGCGACGTGACCACCCCGGTTTTCGTCGAGTCACTATTGAAGACCACGTCGCACAGTGACGCTGCAAACAAAGGATAATAAAGTAGAAAGCGCGATAGAACGACGTGACTGGGGGCAACAAATAAAAACGGGCGCCGGTTAACAAGAATAATTAATTAAAGGTCGAACAGTGATAAAGTCGTACCCAATTAAACTGTAACAGACAACCCCCTCGTTAGCACGAACACTTTTGCAAGCGCAGATAAATCGTTTCGATTCTTTCGGTTTTTTAATCCGGCTTGCGTTACCTGATCCAATTTGCAATCGATCTTTCGAACTGCACCGCACATTTGTCGACGGCCTCTGTATTCATCGTAATTCCTAGTTTTCGCGCGATTGTAGTATTGATCGTAGCAATATGTCCCGATGATTACGAAACAATTTTGACGCCGTTCATTTACTCGAGCTTTCTTTAATTCTCATATTTGTCGTTGAAGTAAAATTTCTGTAAACGGTTTCGTCGAATGTGCGGCAGATTGGACAAATAAATTGCGATTGCAATGATACAGAGCTGAAATCAGAATCTCTGTAGGCTACAGTATACTTTTTACGACGTTTATGTTCTTCTTTGTCCGGACATTTATCATGTTTCGAAATGACATTTTGTTAATGTGCTGTTAAAATTATTATATATATGAGATGGTTTTATTCTTGTTCTCGATGCCTAGCGAGTCCTTTAAAGTTATTTTCAAAAATATTTTTCATTAATGAGCAATAATGATGAGATAGGAGCACTAACTAATGATGATAAGAATAATAAGAAGAATATAATATAATAATATAATATACTCAAAATAATAAGAATAAGAATAAACATAATAAATATAATATATAATAATAATAATATTAATAAATATATAATAAATATAGTAAATATAGTAAATATAATAAATATAATAAGAAGAATAAATATAATAAATATAATAATAAGAATAATAAGAATAATAACATATATACGCAATAATATGAAAATTAAATATTAGGGTAAAGAGTAAGAACAATACATCTCGATGATATGACATATTGTCGAAACCAGATTTGTTGCGAATTCGCGATCCTGATTCATAAGAACATCTCGACCGTGAAGTGTATCGACGTTACCGCCGGTAAAAAATTGCTGCACCGTGGTAGCTCGATACTCAGAGACGAATGAACTTGTTGAGTCGGTCAAAGGATACGATACATCATGTCTCTGCATATAATATTCAGTATCTGTTGAACGTCCACTTGAAGAAACGATATTTTCGTTTTTCCGCGCAGTTTTAAGACGACCACTCCAATCATCTTTTTCCAGGGGCCGCGCGATGCCACAGAAATGTCTGTCGCGCACAGAATGTGCCAAATAGACTGTCACAATGCTGCTTTTCCGTAGTCGCAGCTGACGACGATTTCACTCCGTTTAATTGAATAGCACGGAGGGATCGACAATTAAGAGTGCCGACGAATTTTTCACGGTCTTTCTATCGATAGAAAAAATTCGATAGAAAATTCACTTTCCTTCTTTGGATAGCTTTTGTCGAACTGAATAACATTCACCTCGAAGCATTTTTCTATTTTCCATAGTTAGGAAGTTGTAACGAAGTTATAACTATGTTACAACTTTCCCGGAAGGGAGGGGGGGGGGGCTTTGCGGAGATGTTGGAAGAATGTAATGGAACGTATTTTACGCTGTGCACCATTTTAGTAAATGTTGGAAATAGTGTTCTTGGACTAGACGAGGTTCTATTCTACGTTAAAGATATTTTATTCTTTATCGATACTATTCTGTTTTACTCTTTATCGATTCTATTGTATTTTATTATTTATTAAATTTATTCTATTTCACTCTTTATCGATTCTCTCCTATTTTATTCTTTATTAATTTTATTATCGATTCTATTGTATTTTATTATTTATTAAATTTATTCTGTTTCACTCTTTATCGATTCTCTCCCATTTTATTTTTTATTAATTTTCACTCTATACTAGTTCTATTCTATTTTATTTTGTATTAATTCTATTCTATTTTATTCTTTACTATTTCTTTTCTATTTTACTATATTTACTAGATCAATTCTATTTTATTCTTAATTCATTCTATTTCGATTTTATCCTTCATTTATTTTGATCTATTTCATTCTTTACTAATTAAGCCGCCTAATTATGTAAGCATCATTTACTACATTAATAATCGCAGCGTTAATAATGACGTTTACGTTTACGTGTTTTGTACATAACAAATTTAGCGGTTTAAATAATAATTTAGCGCTACAATGTCACTGAATAACGATCTATCCAGTATAATTATTTAGTGCACTTTTTACTTTTTGATGGTAATCTGCTTATTTAGAGCTCGCAGATAAGCCCGACTAAGTTTAAAGGCATGCTCAGCGGAGTTAGTTAGTTTGGTGATAGTTGTGAAAGGATTTGGTATACCCAACATTGATGAATTCGAGGCAATCCAGTTTCTCTCGTCGCACTTATAATCCCGACAGTATCTCTGATTGCGATTCTGGCGCTGATAATTACGGTAACCAGGAGAGCCTGCCATTGACTGACTGCCCATCCGCGAGTCTTGAGGCTATCCTAATCCAAATACATCCGCAATTTACATCTGCCAGTATCGATCCCGAAACACACTCGGATATCTTCGAACATAATAATCGATTATCTTATATGCTTCCACGCATAGATGATACTCTATAACAGCAATTTGATCTCCGAATCGGTACAATTCTCCATTCCTGTTTTTTCTTTAATATTCGCTCTCTGTTTTCATCACTGTTCATCGATATATTTATCGAAATTTAATATCAAATAATCTTACAACGAAACCACAGAAACAGTTGCGGTTCCTCGACACAAACTACTCGTCGCCATTGCAAACTGCAACGTTGCAAATGATGTTTCACTTAAATATTCATTCGATACTCGTGTTCGAGATCGAATGTAAAATTGCAAAAATTGCTTTCGACGATCGCGCAGAATCTTCGTAATGCAAAGTTGCGCTTCGCCGACGATGTTTCTCGGAAAGCTGTCGTCGAATGTAACATTTGCGAAAGCCATCAACTCCGTGTAAAATGTCTCGTAGATGTTCCCGAAATCGGTTCGACGGCAGTTCGTTCCGCGTCGACGCACGCGGTTTTCATTAGCCGGCGCATTGTTAATTACCGTACACAAAGAGTATTAATTTATTATTGGCCTGGTTCATTGAGCTGTTTGCGTAATTAGTTGGTTGCCACACGACGCGTGAAATGTAGGCGCTTCAAAGGCGAATGGGCGACGCACGCTGCTGATCGTTTCGGAGGCCGATGTAAAATTACGAGCTCGGCCGTTATTAAATAACGGGAACTTGACGGGAAGCTTTCCGGTCCGGCATGCATCTCGCGGTAATGGAATGCGATCGTCATTAATGCAATATGGAGCCAATGAAGCGCCAGCGGAAAAAAGGAACATTTTGTCCTGTCCGTCGTTCTTTATTTTCTCGTTTAGCACCGCGTAACCGGAGCTCCGCGTGCTTTCAGATTTTCAACATTTTTCGGGAGACGCTCGATAATGTAAACGTGACGTCGTCCGTTCTACGAGTCTCGGTTTCTCGCGCGTTATCGACGGAATGAAACACAACGAGTGGGCAAATGAATTTTATCGCCGCGGAAAAATATATATATAAATTGACGGTTCAGAGTGTACGCGCGATTGATTCGTTTTCGTGAAAATTATGGTCGATATTTAATCGAGTGCACGCGTGCATATAGATATTGCGCGTACGCATACAGCGACGGATATTATCGGTGCGGTGGAAAACGCTATCTATAATTTTCCGCTTGAAATGGCTAATGAGATTAGAAGGCAACAACGGAGACTAAAGGCACCGGAGGCAGCCAGCCGGAATTACTATTGAAAGAAATGCGTTAGAGCGGTTGAATCGAGGTAGAGACACTCTGATCTTACTTCTTTGAAAGGAATGCACGCTGAACGATATCAAAGAACTAATTTACTTGAGAAGACAATCTGCTAACAGCACTTGATTGATGGTGTCGCTCGTTAGAAATGATTCGGATTTCATAACTGTCTTAGTCGATTACTAACAATCAGGGCCCTTACATCAATTTGTATTAATAATTTAATAATTTAATAATTTAATAATTTAATAATTTAATAATTTAATAATTTAATAATTTAATAATTTAATAATTTAATAATTTAATAATTTAATAATTTAATAATTTAATAATTTAATAATTTAATAATTTAATAATTTAATAATTTAATAATTTAATAATTTAATAATTTAATAATTTAATAATTTAATAATTTAATAATTTAATAATTTAATAATTTAATAATTTAATAATTTAATAATTTAATAATTTAATAATTTAATAATTTAATAATTTAATAATTTAATAATTTAATAATTTAATAATTTAATAATTTAATAATTTAATAATTTAATAATTTAATAATTTAATAATTTAATAATTTAATAATTTAATAATTTAATAATTTAATAATTTAATAATTTAATAATTTAATAATTTAATAATTTAATAATTTAATAATTTAATAATTTAATAATTTAATAATTTAATAATTTAATAATTTAATAATTTAATAATTTAATAATTTAATAATTTAATAATTTAGTAATTTAATAATTTTTAATAATATAGAAATTTTGATGAGTGGCCTGCGCACTCTATGCATTTATGGCAAACACGAATGAGCGACATACAAGACAGCGAAGGTACCAGAAGAATTTGAGAATATTGTTACGTTATTTACAACTTTTTAGAACTGCTACACGAAAAAGCACGTTTTGATTACGCCTCTGTTCTTTACAATTAATGTAGACAATTTTCTAGAGATTAGAGACTGAAAATATAGCAAACAGATCGACTTAGATGGTTCTTTTTTATCGATGTTTCCATTCACAGACAGTATTTCTTTTCAAGAAAATTATACTCTGTAATATACCAACTGGTTTTATGTAAAAGGTTTAACCGAATCGATGGAGTCTTGGGGGAACACGAAATTAAAATC